GGCTCCTCAGGAAGAGGCGGTGGTGCTTCTTCGGGTGGTGGAGGAGGAGGCATCCCAGGCATAGGTGGTGGTTGCATCATCCCTATTGAAGGCGGTTGGAGCTGACCATAAGGTCTAGGAACTTGAAGATGAGCAAACTGAGATCCCGGTGGAGGCGGCACAGTCATACCAGGCTGCATTTGCGGTGGTCGGTTCATCATCATCGATGGGTGTCCAGGTGGCCCAGGCATCGAGAGCTGGTGTTGTTGATGCATGGGTTGCATCATTGGAACACCCAATGGCCTCGGTCCACCGAGGTACTGAACAGAAGGAGGAGGACGAGGGAGGTTCAAGGCGAGATTTGGAGGTGGTGGCAATGGCCGGACTATTGGGACACCTGGTCGAGGAGGAGGAAGAGCAGCTGGACCAGGGAAGCTATTGGGATCTCCATAAACACCATTGCCTTGCTCCTCTCCATTAGCATTTTGAGTCAAAGCTTGGTTCGCTGTGCGACCAATACTTCCTGTGTGACCATCCCATATTACTTGCTTTGGCTGCTCATCTTTCTTCTTCTCGATCTCTGCTTTAACTGCATTTGAGACTTCTTCCTCGGTTGTTCCAAAGATATCAGGACGCAGACGAGCAAGTCCGACTATGTTTTTAGCTATCTCATCATCTTGTGCAAGAGTGGTCTCACGAATCTTAGCAAACATCCGATCCTTCTGCTCTTTGAACTTAGGATCGATAAGAGAAATCCGCATGTGCTCAGACATCTCGTTAATAGGAATCAGCTCGCCGGTAATTGGTGATATAACAACTTTAGTCGGATCTCTCTCTGCCGGGATCCTATCTTCTGGCCTCTTCCAGTTTTTAACAATTCTCATAGGTGCTTCTTCATTATTCATTTGTATTTGAACAGAGCCACCATTCTCTTCCAAGTTCGCTGCTCTCATTCCTTCTGCAACGAGCTTAACTTCTTCTTCATCCATTTCCATTTCGACTTCCTTTCCAGGCTCAACAGTTTCTTCTTCTTCCATCGCTGATACTTTGCTCCTCCTTATAACCTCGTCAAGTGTCATAGGCGGTGGCAACTCTTCATCTTCCTCGTCAGCAAAATCTATCGACTCGACAACCACAAAATCATGCCAATCAATCATTGCCATCTGCACTCTCTCCTGCTCTTTCTCGTCCTCTTCTTTCTTCCTCTGCTGCTCCTGAGAACGATCCCATTCAAGACGATGCAAACAACGCTCAAGTACGGTCGTCAAATCAGCAGCACTTTTCCTGAGCTTTTCTTTCAAATCTTTGGGAGGCATTAATACTTCTGTATATGCATCAACCAGAGAAGTGAAAAAAGTGAACATACTATGAGTTGGCTTCATAAACTGAAGATTTTTATCTTCTCTACTCTGCAATCCTTTTAAAAAGGATAAACCATTCCGTGCCACAAACTGCGCAGTGAGCTTAATAATATCAAGCTCCTCCCCCGTGATCCCTTCAGGTATTCTAACCGTATACTTCTCAGGTTCCGGAGGTTCTAGAGGCTTAGGAGGAACCCTAAACTGAGCTTGAAGATCGGCTTGTGTATCACCTGCTTTAATCTCATCAGCAGCAGCCGCAACATCGGTTTTGAGATCTGTACCATCTGAATCAGTACCCTGAGCTCCATCTTGATTCTGAGCTCGGAATTCAGCGAGCTTGTGCTGGTAAAAGGCATGATAAGGATCAGAGCTGTTCAAAAAGTTGAATTTAGCATTATTGGCCTCACTAGCTATAATCCTCTTTTCAAACTCCACACCGAGTTTCGAAACAAACTGAGCCGTCTTCTCGACTATATTTCTGATATCTGGAGGTGGGTGAATGATTCCGATAGTCCTAGTGTGAGTGGCTACAGCTGCCGGAGCTTGGTTTCGCTCTGCTTCCAACTCCCTCTCTGCGATTTCTTGATCCGTTAACTGCGACGGAGGAAGTGGACCGAGATTCCCATCGGTAGGAGGAGCCTCGAGTGGAAGTATCTTCGTCGAACTGAACATTTTCTGCAACCGGGAAAAATCAAAAAAACATTAGCATCAGATTCTGATCGAAACGGGGGATAATTTTTTTGACCTAGAAACTATCGAATCTACTGAAATTGGATTATGAACGGAAATAAACCATGAATACTTCCATTTGGAGAAGGAAGAAAATCCTGGAAACCAAATATGCTGAAGAAAGAGATCGATTTGGGGAAAACAGGAATCGGCGACGCGAAGGGTTACGGTTAGGGTTTTG